AATATAGCCAGCCGTAAGTACCTACTGTTCATTATGTAAGGAATCTATATTATAAATTTTACTTCGTACATATTTGCATATTTTACAGTTTTCGCTTTTTAGAAGATATGTTTGCAGTACACCAGGTGATCCATTTAAGCGGGCACACTCATTATCTCGGAAAGTATTAAATCTTTCCGGGATTTGTTTTCTAGAACATTTAAGAAACAAGCAGCTCCACAATTTTATATCAATGTTATTTTTTGTCAACCTTATTTTTGGGAGTAAAACCACTTTTGGTTTTCAAATGACAACCTATACTAAAAATTCCATAAATAGACGGAGTATTAGTTAAAATAAATGTCAGTGTTGACATTTTTGATTCCCGTCAAGCCGTTGACGAGATATTCCACTTTTAAGTTTGGGTTGGAAGAGAATAGCGGTGCATTATTCACACGCCGCGTGCCGTACTGTCACATACATGATAATGAGTGTACCCACTTAAATAGATCACATGGTATGTAGTTTTCAAGTGCTATAAAAAGACATAATGTAGGCACCTAGTACCGTCTACTCATATCTTATCTTATTGTATGCCACGTATTGCTACGTATTAATACAGACATTTTGGTACGGGCAGCTGTCCGCCCTGCCTGTACACTAGGACCGTCACTGGAAACAACGATCTAAAGTTATCGAAAGTATTAAAACAATTGGAAATCTGTTTTAAATGTGTATTTTGTTACGTCCGATCTTCCTAAAAAGGCTCATTTCAAAGTATAAATCCATCCGGCTGAAATATTTCGTGTAATCAGTAGAGGCACGAAGGAGGTATATTTGAATTACGCGATTCATTAAAAATGGGTGGATGGGTCGTGGTAGCGTGGGTGTTCAGAAATATAACAAAAATTAGTATAGTCTTATAAAACATAAGTCGTTAAAAGAATTTTAGACTTCGGGAAATTCGATAAATTTCATTGAAGACCCCCCAAAGAAACTAGGTTTTTATTTCTGATTAATAGATTTTGGGATATTTTCAGAAGGGGTGGGTGGAAAATTAAATAGGTGATTTGAAGTAAAAAGTAATTTCGCACTTTATGTACAAAGTACATGTTCACATTATATTGAGCCTCGCTATTCTAGCAGATACTCAATATAAGAAAACGGAACACTCGACAAAATTTTTGCAATATTCTTAGGGTGGAATTTAGACCTTGTCGAGATTTAGACCTTTTCAGGATTTCAACTCCGTCGGGATTTTAACTGTCGAGATTTCGACCTTGTAGGGATTTTGACTCTGTCGGACTTTTGAGCTGTCAGGATTTCGGTGTCGGTATTTTGACTGTCGGGATTTTGACCGGGCCCGTACATAATTGCCTTTTTATTTTTTTGTTATAGACATATGTAAAGTAAGTAATTTCGTTTTGTATTAAAAATAACCTTATTCAAAACAAAAATTATGTATTGTATCTACAAATACAATAGGTTGTAAACTTAATTAATTTCACTCAAAATGTATTTAAAATGAAACATAATGTTGATTTTTATGTTATTTATTGTAACCAGGGTTTAGAATTTATTGCACTCAAATCAAAAAACAAACAAAGTGCTGAAATAATTACAAATTTATTACAAAGTAAATATATTTTTTTTATTATAAAAATATGCAAAAAAACATTTTACGTTTTGTTGTCATGACCTACATTTTCATAACACTGTTAGATTTAACTTTTAGCGAAGAAAAAATAAGTAAATTCTGTAAGCCCCAAACCCTGCTTATAAGTATAAATGTTTTTTTTCTTAATTTAATAAAAAAAAAAAAATGTTAAGTTTAAGAAAAAAAACACGTTTTTTAAACCAATCACTGTAGTAATTCAACAATCAGATAAATCTGGATTTATCTTATTGTTACATATAAATGGCCACACTGTAAACGCATATGATTTAAAGTTTAATAGATGTTGCTCAATAATTATAAACAAGCATAACATTGAAATTGCAACTTATATGGAAATATAATTTAAATACTTAAGTAATAATAAAAAAAAGTCAGTAGGTTCACATAGAAACGCAACAATATGATAAATCTATGTTCCCTTTAACTTAGATTTATCATATTGCCAATGTTCCCTTTAACTTTGGCAAACAGATAAAACCTTAGAACTATTTTTTTGTCCGAGTTAAAAGCTCACAATGTTGTATGTTTAAATATATAAAGAATAATATTTTTCACAATATACAATAAAATTAATTTTAACAATATTCGATCACTTAATTATAAAATAAATTTCTTTGTCCAGAAAAATGTCAACTAGTATCAATTGGAATTGTCGCGGATATACGGAGCTTATGACGTAATTGAAAAAAAAAAATATTCCCAGATGTCTATACACGCACACACACGCGCACACACACACACACACACACACACACACACACATATACATATACATATTTAATTTTAGAATTTTGTTCTACTCTTATAATATTTATTGCAGACATAGCTAGATTTACAGAGTCGTTGTTAATTTTATAATTATTTTCAAAACGTTTTTATTTTGTAAATAATTTTTTAATATCACAAAAACAAAAAGTCACCTTGAATTTATCCTTGAGCCATTATAATGAATGGAGGTTTTAACTTGAATTTTAAACTTTATTGATTTCATTAAGTAGGTATATTTTATGTATTATACATAAAAACACGCGACAGTTATTGAATATACGCATTTGATTAAGACGCATTTTACAATAATTCCGATCATCAACAACAGCTATAACAATGGTTAATTAACAATATTACATCGATAACCTTGGGTTTTCCGCCATGAAAATATTATAAATTCAATTTACTGTATTTACGCAGTTACCGCTTTGAGGTTTAGAAAATTATTTTAATTGCAGCAAATCAAACGCGTCGGTTGTTTAAAAATTCATATTTTATTTGAAAATAAATCTGATTACCATTGTGAAAATTTAGCCAATTTTTTCCCTCTGTTTAATAGAAAAAATATTCGATTGTGTCCTGTGTACTTATTTCATAGTTTTAATATCGTTATCGACTATTGGGTGTTCCGTCGATTCAATATTGTATTTTATTTTAATTTTATTTCTTATGGCTTACACAAATCAACCTAAACTAAAAATACAAAACATACAGTATAATATACATAAATGATTAAACTTAGATAGGAATATGCTTATTCAAATAATTTCTTCATAACCGTATGTCGAGATTACTAATCCAATTTATTGCTTCTGGAGTCACTTAATGTAGGCCTTCGAAAATATCATGTCAAAAATATTGTATTGAATACCTAATTGAGTAATTGCATTTAAATACCAGTGTATAGTTGATACACTTTTTAAATAAATATTTGGACGAGGGTTTAAAATGTTTAAAAACTATCCAAAAAGCTTTTACTTAGGTTTACTTATATTCAAATGTATTCAAGTCAATATAGTTACATTTTATTTTGTTTTTTATAGGTTTTCATGGCTCTTCATATTCAAATTTGCTGTTCCTTTTATAATACAATAATTAGTGATAAACCACACAGACATTTCCATGACTAGCATTTAATACATTCACAAGTCGTATAATTAGTATAAATAATAAATGGCTTGGTTATTGGTTAATTTACACGAACTAGAGTCGGTCTTACACTTCCCCAAGGGTTTCCTATGTATAAAAAGATGAAACCGGCTAACGACGACTCATTATTTCTTATATGATTAGGTAATTATTATAATTTGTGTTATGTTCATAGTGTATTACAGTTATTTTAATATTTTCATTGTTATTTTTAATGTTTAATTTTAATCAACAGTGATTTTAAATTGTTTATAATTAGTTGTAAAACATTGAATCTGTTTGAAAACCTGTTTAAATTTCAATAAATAAGTAAACAAAAAAATAAATAACTTCACAGGCCACAAAACAATATTATAAGTTTCATTCATAATATTTTAAGAACAAAACCCGGCGGTGAATGAACTAAACAATATAACACCTACTTAGACATTTTAAATAGGAACTGTAGTTAAAAAAAAAACATTTGCAATGCAAGTCGAAATATTATTCTATCCAATAAACCGATCTCAACACAATTTACTACCAGAAACCATCCATGAAGTTGAGGACTGCAAGATTTCTGGTCAAAAAGCTGTTTACAGTTAACCATCATCCAACAACAAACATTTCACATAATAGTAATACAGTACTCGCATTATTGTACCTAGGTACCTATTTGTATTTATAATAGTTTTTATAGTTATCCAAATCTTTAATAACAACGTTGGTCGGCCTCTAATTATTTGATTATTAATAGATTAAGATAACTAATAGATTTTACCCTAACAAACAGAAAAACGACCACCAAGTCGTATATAGTCAAATAAAACCTTGCAAGAATATATTATATTCATATTCACATTTTCATAAAATATTTAAATGTTTAGTAGTTAATATGAAATATTACTTTGAAATAATCTACCTATTTTGGTATTTTTTTTTCTTTAGACCTTTAAAAAAACCTATTAAGCTCAACGATTAAATACATAAGAGTTCAGATATAAATAAAAACCAATGATACCAAAAATAAACAGTTAAATAAGAAAGTCAGTCTCGTGGATAAAGGAAATAATAAGAAGAATAACAGACTTGGAATTTGATTTTAGAATGTCGGAGACGTTAAAAGGAATGTTAAGGGACCAGAGAGAATTAAATAGAGTAAGGCGTTGAACAGATAAATATGGACAAATGGGGTAAGTCGCAAATGTTTTTATCTAAATCAGTGGTTTCCAACTGTAAGGTATTTAGATAGTGCACGGGGGAATATAATGATGATGAAATATCGACAATTTCGTTGTTAAAATAATTATGCCATTTAACAACCAGTAAAACTGAAAAAAAAAATATATTTTTCTTGTATATAATGTATAATATAGGTATATTATGTAAAATAACAAAACAACTTGTAAAATGTATTTAAAAAAATTTGAATTATAAAAATTGTCGTCTAAACTCTAATAGTCTCATTTAATTTAAGGGGAGGGTGTGTGTGTTTTTGAACATTTACATGAAAAAGGTTGAGATGATCTAACTGATCAGACCACTGATCTAAATAGTGTGCAGAAAAGGTAATCTTTGAGATTGAGCTTTTAAGAATGGGGGAGGAGGGTAATGGCCCACGTGTAATAGATTAAATTTGATTATTTGAGATGTTAATAGTTTAAGATCCATGAACCAAATATTATTTAGAATGGCAGGGACTATAGATTTGAATTTAGAGGTAAAGTTTGCTGGTAATCTGTTCCAATAAATAGACCAGGGTGTAAGAACATGATATCGAAGGATAGGTGAGAGATGTGACCAAGGAATTGAAAAAAAGAAAGGGCTAATTAAGTTTAAGGAGAATTTGACCAAGTATCACCTATCTCGTTACTGTGGATACCTACGTGGCTAGGAACCCAGAGGCACTGAATAATACAATTTTTTTGGCAAAGTTGAAACAGGATGGATTGTTTTTCTTTTATAATATGTTGCTGTTTATTGAACTTGAATAAAACGGTATAATAAATAATTAATATATCTTTAAGTACAAATGAATACATGACTAATATTTTCAAATGCAAAAGACAGGAAAGTTATAGTACACACGGTCTTGATAGAAGTGCGTCATAACCTAACAACGGTGCGTGGTGCATGGAGTACAACTATAAACAAATATGTTTGATTTGAAGATCGAGAGGACATTGAATCAGATGCGATTAAAATATTATTTAGTAGAAAGGAAAAATTTAATGTGAGTGCTTCGATAATGGCGTAACATTCAGTGGTGAAGGAAGAGTAAGAATTTGGTAAATTAGGAGAGAAATAATGCGAAGACCAGGGATATTAAAAGCCGACAGAGGGAGGGAAGACTAAACCGTCAGTACACTACAATGAAATCGGGGAATTTGGTATTCAGAAAATTGGAAGAGAAGTTATTATTTACAATAGGGCAGAAAGATTTTCGATTTAAAGTAGATTTAATAAGAAGAAAGTCGTTGAGATAGACATCAGGGAAGTAGAGAAGAGAATCATCATTTAGGTGTTTTTAATTAAGTAGGTATCTTATGACATTAATTGGTACCTACTGCTTCACAGTTAAGAAAATGTATGTGATGTATTTTCTCCAACTGGTGTTGTAAATTATTAACACTCTACCATAGTTATAACAAAACTTATAGGTATAGTCAATATTATTGTTATATTATTAACATTAGTAAACTAATTATTAAAATTAGGCACAATCAAACAAATACAATTAAATTTATATTAATTACATTTTTTGCACTTTGGAGTTTTGGACTCGATTGTCAAAAGTGCATTAAGTTTTGAAGGTTCATTATTTAAAATACGATATCTTATCACGGCTGTTCATAGAAATTAAATGTAAAAAACCGAGTTTACACAACGGTTAAATGATTACTAAAATGTTTATTAAGTTAATAATTATAACATCAAAAATTATGAACTAGTTAAGCAAGTTTAACAATTCAAAAAGAAAAACCATTAACTTTTAATTGCCTATCTAATATAACTTTGATAATTTTCTTAAATTATTGAAAATATTTGACAATAATGTGGTACGATAAGTATAACAATTATTGCACAAGTAGTAATAATTATAGAAATTATGAATATTGACTATAATATTGTAAGTAGGTATATAAAATGTTTGTTTTTTGTATTAACAATAATATTTTTCACCCTAAATAAATTTGAAGCTGTTGAAGCCGTTGTTTTTTGGCATTATTTAAATTTTTATGCCCAGTGGTGACTATCCTCAAAAATACATGCGTTGCTGATGATCTTTCTGAATACCCACTAGAAAACATAAAAAACTGTATACCTCCTCCCCCTTTTCATATATTTCTAGGGTCATGGAGTTGCATTAGGAAAAAATCGTACACCACTTCACTGTAATTTAAGATTTCAAAAAAATATAATTATTTCATTGGAAAATTGGACAATTACACAAATAAGCCTTAAATTGCACGTTGTAGGTAGCGAATAAATAAAACCAACACCCAATGATTGACGATAATAATTGGCATGTTTTAAAATTTACAATACATTATTATGTACTTTGAACGATTTACTACTCGCCTATAGTATTAGAGGTGTACAGAATGTAATTTTCATACTACAGCTGATATTAAAACACAATTAAACAATAGTAAAACATTACAAAGCATTTTTATATCTTATATTTAATATATAGGTAGCATAATATTTTATATTATTAATGTTTTCTTAAAAAAAAAAAAAAAAAATATCCAACTTATTTATTGTGAACGTACATATTATTAATATATTTGTATGACAATTGTGAAATAACTATATGGTTGACTAAGTAGTTTATTTATAAATAAAATACAATTTAATCATATCGGCATACGACCATTTTTTAACAAAAAAAAAAAAAAAACTCTGTTAAAAATCGTTAGTTATCATATATTGTATTGAGTAATTTGATAAAATATTCACTCTTGTGCATCAAATTACTTATCGATTTTCAGCAATGTTTTTTTTTTTTTTTTTTGAATTGCACCTATAAATACACACACGTTAAAATAAATATCAATTAGGACATTTAAAAAACTTTATTTTTTTGTTTTTTTTTTTTTATTAGGTATTATTTACATTTTGGGTTCACTATTTATAATTTATAACTATGTATGTACAAAAGCTATACAATAATACAATCCGTAATAGAGTTAATGATAATAATATTATTTTCATAAATAAATAAATTAAGATTATAATAATATATTAATACAAAACATATATAGCATCAATAACTAATATTCGATAGTATTAAAACGATATTAATAAATAAAAAAAATAACACGATAACCATTGTTTAAAATATAATAATATGTAGAAATAGAAGAAAAAAAAATCAACAACGCAGTGCCAGAGAAGGTAATTCGTTTTGTTTCGAATGGTTGGTAGGTACTATACGTACTCGAAGAAAACATAATAAATAAAAGGAAAATAGGTAGGTCCGAAGATTTTGAATTTTTTTCCACCGGAATCGACAAACGTACGGGAAAAAATATATGAAAATTCAACATCAACTCGCTCAAATAACGTTTCTTATATTAATATTATATAAAGCTATACTGTGGGTAATGTTGTATTTAAGTCAGATATGCAACACAGTTTACACGGGTGTGAAAACTCGATTATGATGTTCTCAAACACTCCTGCGAGACGTACTCGCCGACATAAACGTTGATGGTTTTTAAACGGAGTTTATGAGATAACCGACCGACCGCGATCGGTTGTAATCTCAATTTAAAAATCATATTAACGAACAGAAAACGTTCATTTTGGCGAGAACGACCCTTAGTTATGTAGAAAAAAAAAAATACATCAAATCTAAACCGCATTACTGAAGGACTCGCGTCGTAATAATATTTTGTGATATTGCACGACCGGCGACGTCCGAATTTTTTTTTCACACAGATAACAAGTTTACAGGTTCATTTCAATAGAATTATTACAATATTGTATTATCAAATAGTGTTTCGTTAATCCTAATGGTAACACGTACAATAGTTTACTGTGATAATAAGTATATTATTATTATTTTTTTTTTGCAGGCACATTAAGCATTATATTGGCAAACAATCTGTAAACTACAATAAAAAAAAAAAAAAAAAAAATGTACACGTAAAATGCTTAGTATAATAAATATTTATGTATTTTAAATGTTAATATATTATTGTTCATCGACACCGAATACAGTGGTGGGGGGGGGAGAAGGAAGGAGTACGTAATACGTATAATATGTAATAATATTATCATTTTAAATTCCATTTCGCGCGGATCGAAGAGACGTTCTGTAACGATAATAATAATAGTCATATTATTACGCGGGTGTTATGGTAATATAATATTGTGATAAACGCGTAAATTAGCGTGTAATGTGTTTAGGTACTTGCATAATAATACATATTTTAATAAAATATGGGTAATAATAATAATAATAATAAATTATCAAAGTCGACGAGATAACCGTTCGAATCATTTATCTAATATGTTTCATTTCGTTGGTAGGTTTATTATTTTATCGTCGGGATATCGTAATGATAACAATAATAACAATAATAATAATAATATATAGCCGCCGTCCCGGTGATTACGGTAAACGTATATCCGTACGGAACATGAAACGGACATTGTCGTGTGTGTACCTAAAAGGTATATGGCGACACGAATATGCGGAATAATGAAATATTGTTGGGACAAAATATTATTGTCCCGAGGTCCAACGGGGCGGCGGCGACGACGACGACGTAGGTAACTTAAAATCTACGGGGGGGAAAAAAAAAAAAAAAAATTACTCCGTCGACAGAAAATACAAATAGGTACAATATTATTATATTGTTCGGACGACTCTATAGTATTTACTAGTTAAACGGTCGCGATTAATTTTCCGCGTTGTTTCCGCCGGATTCCGGTATCTTCGGCAACGTAGTGGCCAGCGGCATTTTGCAAACGTCGCTGTAGCTAATCGTCCCTTTCTCTTCCAGATCTTTCCAGTATTGATAGTTGCTCCGCATGTAGTACAACATTTCCGGCATGTCTATGAACGCTGCGAAATATAACGATTAACACCGGGATTAGAAAAACGGGGACCAAAAAAAAAAAAAAAAAAAAAAATAAAATAAAAACAACCGAACAAATAAATAAATTAACCGAGATAAAAGTATTATTATTATTTTTCGCCAACAATACTAACAGTCCCAAGTCTCGAACATGTCGTTTATGATATAGTCCATAAAACCGATTTGCGATTTTGGTATGGAACACGTGGCTCGGTCGAACATCGGCATCACTACTGGCAAATGATTGATTTTCTCCTCGTCGGTCTACATATATAAATAAAAAAAAAAAAAGAAATGAAATTAACACACATTCGCACTTAGAAATATTTAAAAATTGTTTCGGTTGTTTTTAACGAATTTTTACGTTCATTAGACGGCGCTTTTAAACCTTCTCTACTCCTTCCTCTCCCCCTCTCCCTTAAAAAAAAAAAAAACTAGCCCCGACGTCATCCCAAGAAAATAACAATAATAATGTGATGTTTCGCCAAATAATGTATCGTCTTGTTGTACGATTAAAATTAAAATTCAAACAAATCACGTCATAGGTATTTTATATATAGTTAATGTACGTTAATGCTATTGTTTAAGGGGCGAAATGTAGGCAAATTCTAATCTCGTCACAGTCGCCCGAAATGTTTCTGTTAGTCGTAAACGGTTGTAAACTTTTTAAACACTAATCGATATTTTGAATATACATTCGTGTTTATATGTTCTAAAAAAAAAAAAAACAACTGTTTAACAGTAAATAGTTTCGTTACTAAGAGTTGGATTTCCGCCTGCCTAGTATTCGTTGTGAAACAATATATAACCGAATACTGTAATAATATATACTACAACTATAATATACTACTTCCGAACAAATTGTAAAATTTGAGCGTAAAAAATGGTAGTGGGAATGGTTGAAAATGTAAAACCCAAAAAGGCATACATGCGATACGAACGCCACGCATATACGAAATGTGTACAGGGGGGTCTTTGTACAA